GGCGGGTCGCCTTAACCCCTAGCTCCCACTACCACCGGGTGGGTTACTCTTGTGTTTGTTGGGGGGCCCAGAGAACCAGTGTTGTGAGGGGCCCTGAGAGGGCGGACCCTGAGAGCGTGATGGAGTACAGGGCGTGGTGCTGCGGTTGCCCCTAGGAGAAAGGGAGTAGTGGCATGGTGAGGCCCGAGGATGCGAGTGAGGGGCTAGAGAGACCCAGCCCAAAGGGGAGAGTACCCTCGACTGGCCCAAGCTGGGGCCAGGACTATGAGAGTCAAAAGGGCCGGGGGCCCACCGCGAGGGACGCCCAAGAGCCGGGGGCCTGGGGTCCCGACTGGTCTTGAGGTGGGCCGGGGCAAGAGGCCGAAGGTTTTGGGCGAACCACACCTGAGAGGGGAAGATAGCTTCGGGGGGGCGAGGTAGCCCGGATGAAGGCGGAGAGGCCGCCTGAGTGGAGAAGATCATAGAGAGGGGTCCTGTGTGGATGATTCTGGGGCCCAGTGTGGGGCCAGTGATGATGTGAACACCATGATGCCATCTGTGAGGCTTGGGCTGCGGTATTAGGGGAGGTCGGAGCCGCAGAGCGCCCCCTGGCATCGGGGCATTACAATGGGCAGCCTCCCGCTTAATAAACATCTTAATTGAACTTATTATCATCAAAGGCGTGGCGGGCGAGATAGGCGGGCGGTTGCCCAGAGACAGGTGGGCAGGCCGTGGAGATCGGCCCCGAGATGGCCCCCTGTCACATAACCATTTAACAAATAAGTTCAGAAATGTAACCCAGAAATATGAAATAAGTATTGTATTTGCTTCTATTTATAAATTTAAAATGTTTGGTCCTTTAGCTATTTGATGTAATAGACAGCTGGAACCTACTCAGAAAAAAAGCAAGACGATTTTGAGATGTCTGTCAACCATTTCTATTTTTTTGTCCTACTTTGTCAGCCATTGACAGGACGTAGGATTACGGAGTCAGATTCTGTAAAGTGCTGAGAAGTTTCTATAGTTTCTCTTGGCTGCTAAACACTTTACTATTGTCCCGTTTTCAAACTAATGGTGTTTAATGTATATATGTACTTAGTGTACTCAGTGCCTCCCAGAAGTCTGAGCATTTGCTCTGATTTTAACAAGGTACTTAATCATGTTCCCACATTTAATCATGTGACTAGTCTTTATGAACTTATTTCAATGGGGCTACTCACATATTTAAAGTTAGACACGTGTTGAAGTACTGTGATGAATGATGGCGTTTGTTAGCAAAGAGTATATGCTGTGGTTATGAAGGCTAATATTGCTTAATAAAATGTCACCTTATGAAACACATTTCTTGTAAAAAATTTGGCAGGCCAAGATCATTAACAGCATCAGCAAAATTCTGTGAAAACTGTTTATTATTTATAAATGTTGCTGTAGAATCAAAAGACTAATTGTAAACCTTTTAGACAGACACAAATTATGGTTGACTGAAACCAACTGACAAGCTTAAACCAGAGAGTTGTTATACAATCTAAAATTCTAGGCAACTGATAAGAAAGAAAACATGATAAGAAACACCGGAAACCATATGTACAAGAAAAATACAGATACTATTTTTACAGACTAATATAATATTGGTTGTTAACAGAATTAACATTTTAATTAAACCACTGATTAATTATTACCTCTCCATCTGCAACTCTGAAGTTTGTAAACTGTGCAAAGCGCTGTTCTTCTTCAAAATCAATTAGATTGATTCTTAAAGTATAGTTTCCTTAAACAACAAAATATAATTCCTATTATAGCATCCTTCTTTGCATTCCCCAGAATAAAAGCAATGTGTTAGTTATACAAAACAGATTAAAACCCTGTTTTTTGTTCTTTCTTGCATGAATGTATTCTGTCTTCTTTACAGAATGTTCCATATTTTTTATCCTCTTTCTAGTCTTTATTTTCCAAATTTTAGAGGCCTTATTTAAAAGAGAAAGTGCGAAACCAATCTTTTAGTGCACATGGGAGCAAGTGGGTGGGCATGCTTTACAGCAGGATACCCAGCTGTGGTATGGAAGGACAAACCCTTCAACTCCTCTGTACATGAAAAGTTAACAGCCAAAACCAAATCTTCAGCATGGGTAAAAGTGAGAAGCTCTCCAGTGGAGCTGTGATAGTTTGTACGGATCTGGCCCTGAATATGTGAACCAAACTTTCTTGTCACTTCCATCTATCCAGTCCCACTGACCTAGATTCCTTATCTCATAAGAGAATTTACCTGATATACTCAAAGGTTCATTGAGCAGTCAGGACATGCCCCTAATGTAAGCTGTCAGCAAACTGGCCAAGTGTGTGTTAATGTTCTACCACATACAGGTAAACTCAGGCTAACTTCATTTACTAGTAGCACAAAGGATGTAATGGCATAGACTTCAGCTATGCTGGCTGCCTGCGTAAGCAAAGAAATGAAGTTCTACCAATCAGTAACCTAATATCAAAGGGAGGTTAACTTAGAACAGTAAATCAGTAAGGGGGAGATATTCCCAAGATGCTAGAAATGCTAAAAGATGCTCAGATCTGTACCATTACAAACCCATACTAAATGAAGTTCACTGTTTGGGCCTGAACTGTCAGTCAAACTGATGTTGTGGAATGGGTGAATGGATCTGAAGGTTCTGAATGTTCAAAACTGAATGTCCTTATTTACTGCAGAGCACTATCCCGATTCCGATGCATTTTGTACTGGTACAAGCCCTCAGAAACTCCATTCAAACACAGGATTTAACACTAGTGTAAAGATATCAGATTTTGATGCTGAAAGGGCAAAGTAACAAAACAATGAACAAACAAACAAAAAACAGACGGTGGATCTGTCTAGAGGGCAAAGGCAGCTAAAGAAGATTATTTTGATACGAGTCTTACCTTGACTGGTCAGATAGTGAAGATTTTTATTTCCAAGCCAGTATTCACCATTTCTCAAGACAAAATTTCCAAAACCTTGTTCATAGTCAGCCCATACTCTGAAAATAAATTTAAACAAATTATGAGGGTTATTTAAAAAGAATTTAACAGTAACAACTACACACAACTATTTAAAAAGAATAAGGTGTTTGCTACAAACATCACTTTAACCTCACAGTCTTGTAACAACTACACAGTCTACTGCATGTGTAGATGCGGCCACAGACTATAACTACTATCACTTAATTGTGCATGGGTTATAAAACTATGCTGTCTGAAGGAGCTCAGGGCTAGGAAACAGGATCTTGGGCTACTGAATTTCAATTTTGACTTTTTGCACTGAGTTAGTGTCACTGAGCCTACCTGACTCTTTTGGTTTTTGATTTTTCACTAGGAAGTTTAATTTTTCCAGGCGGGGTGAGGGAAGGGGAGATATTTTACCAAGCATCCCTAATACCTATCTGCCTCTCAGGGTTTTTTAGAAGATGCATTAGTTTGATGTTTACACAGAGCATAAAGTATGAAAAATGAAATACCGGTACTTAAAACTGGAATAAATTCTGATTGCACATAACAGAACCATGTTATACCACAAATATCTAAATTACCATGAATACTGCTGTAAAAATAAATGACCCGGTGTAACAAGCTGCCATTTTTAATGGAGCCCAGGCAGGGAGTTCTGTAAAGCCACTACATTATGCCAGGTAGCTGTACATACTTATAAAGGCTCAGTTTGGTGGCTTTGCTTATTCATTTTTCATTTGCAATACATATTTACAGATATATTTTTAAAGTTAATATTTAACTTGGTCCCTCCTAATTCCAGGTGCTTGTGCTTCATTTTTAATGTTAACTCCTTGCTCCAACTCCTACCTATCAAAGTTCTGGCTGCCGTCTGAACGTCTCTGAAAAACAGTCCAGCCTCCACCTTCTGACATGTCACAGTAGGCAAGGAATTCACTAGGACTCTGAAGAGGTTTCATCTTGTAAAATCCACTTTGCTTATGTCCATCATTGTAAATCTCAGCACAATCTGCTCTCGAAACAGCAATTGAATGATTTGTTTTGGTCCTGTACTTATAATATTATTAATAACAAACCTTACAAACAGGGATCATCATCAGCATAATCCATTTATAATAAACATGTACCACATGCATATTAGCTAGAAGGGAACAAAGTAAATATATACGCAAAGACTTTCAATATCAATCTTTTTGATTTAGCATTTTTGTTTATTTCCATAATTCAGTAAAGATTGCCAAAAATTTTGATACTTCTTCAAGAGCATCTTTGTACATCTTGCAAGTGTCATTTAGTAGTGTGGTCCTGACACTGTTTTCATTTGCACTAGCATATCTCCTCTGAGTTAGGTTGAAAAGTTTACACTGGTGTAACTCAGAAAACTATTAAGCACAAACAACAGGGTTGAATCAAAGTGAGGAGAAAGGAAGCAAAAAATTGAGTTAATACTTTTTTTCACCTTCAGCAAAATCAGTGCAAATTAACTTATGCCAGTGCAAACTGTATAAAATGTGATGATGCCAATTTGATACTGTTTTTCATTAATTTTTCATTGGTGTAAATGACTAAGTAAAATTCAAGACAATGGCAAAATCAGTTCCAGTGAATATACAATAGTAATATAATTGTATAATTTTTTTTCTCCTAGGAGTTAATAATTATCCTATGAAAAGAACTCTTTGTTTATATCTAATCTACCATCAAGCAGTCAAACAGGAAAGACGTATAATTTTCAATATTTTCTGTTTTTCCTGGCAAGGGTAAAGCTGATTCAATGTACGATTTACCTCTGAAAAACTTTTGAACATATTCACTAGACTTTAGCCAGCATTTTTTATATCTATCTATCTATCTATCTATCTATCTATCTATATATATATATATATATATATATATATAAAAATAAAATAATTTTTGCATTTCTTGGCCACTTTACAATTTTCTGAACCATTTTCTTTCTCCCCAGAGAAAGTCCCAGTAAAGTTTCGATACAGAAAATAAACAGTTTATACTGAAAACAAATGAGTATGCCAGGATTTGGCCAGACTATAGAAGAAAAAGTAATTTAAATAACATCTAAGCCAATCTATGAGAGATACGTAAAAAATGCTCTGAAACACCCATGATTTTTTCACTAGAATCCAAAGTGTGCATAGTATTTAAGCATGCACTTAAGTGATTTACTGAACTGGGACCTAACTCCCTTAATGTTTATATAATAATACGTGGGTAAATATAAAAATGTATGTAAATTATAATAAAAAGGAAAACCCTGACTCTGTGCAGATAGGAAGAACAGGATCTGAAGACTGGTATCTGTAAGAGTTCAGTTCCTGAAGATGCCTGTATGTGACTAGAGAGAGGTACGGTTTGGGATCTTTTGGGGCAAGGACCTTGTTTTGTCATCTCTTATCTCACTTGGAAGTGTGTGGTGTGAATACTATAAATAAAAACAACAAACTATTATTTCTATTGTTACTAGCACTAATATAATACAGAAGTCCAATGACCTTTTCTCTTGTATAAGTGGATCATTAGTTATATAGACTGGGAAGTGAGAATTCTGCAACAGATTATGGCAGGGGTTGTCAACCAGGGGTACGCATACCCCTGGGGGCACTTGAGAAGGCCCTAGGGCAGAGCTTTCCAAACTTTTCATGTTGGTGACACACTTTTTAGACATGCATCATTTCGCGACACAGTAATTCAGTTCCGGGGGAGGGGCCAAGGGAAGCAGACGCGAGTAAGGGAGCTCCGCGGTGCCCTTCCGCAAAATTTTCTGCATTTCGCGCGACACACCTACACACTGCCGCCAACACACTAATGTGTCGCGGCACACAGTTTGGAAAGCTCTGCCCTATGGTGTACATATGGGTGGGCAGGGATGGAGTGCCACCATGCACCAACCCGCACTGTTGCGCAGGCACCACCTGCCTGGCCAGACGTGAGGGGCGGGGGAAGCTTCCACGCACTGGCTGCAACCGATCCGCGTTTGGCTGCCCTCCCCCTGCTCCACTCCACGTCCAGCCGTGCACCACCACCCACTCCCCCCGCTCTGTCTCCAGCTGCCAGGGGTACACTGATCCAAAAAGGTTGAAAGCCCCTGGATTACGGGATGAAATCTGGTCTTTGGGGTTGGTTCCACAACAATTTCCTCTAGTTATAAAAAGTTAAAGTCAAAAGACTGCCTTAGATGAATACCTCATCAGACTGGCATAGTTAAGGTGTACCATTTTTTATAGTTTCTAAAGTGGATGGTCTACACAGGAGTGATAGGGTTAGCATCACTTCTTCAACCAGCTGTGAGGAACAGCAAGATACCTTTGCTATGGTCTGGTGCCTCTGCTATAACAAAGCTAATAATTTTGAAGGATTAGTTGTACACTGAAAACTCAAAACACAACCATTCAATCTCATATGGATCTATGAAACTGCTATCTCTACTGACTCTTGATTACCTACTTAGATCTGATTTGGAAAAGCTCTGGGGTTGAGTTGCAGAGACAACAGCATGCAAAGTGGGAAGTATTTGAGTTTCACAGGGTTAAACTCACTCCTACTATAGTTCTACTGATTTTGAAGAATTACATTAAGGGTGTGTTTAGATGATTTTGACATAGAGATAATGACTGTGTGAGGTTGCCCGAGAGTTCCCTATAAAATACTCAGAAGGTAAAGACAATTTCATTTATAACTGCAGCAAAACTGCTACAATCTTTCTGCACTGATGTTTTAAAACTTGCCAAGATAACTTCATCTTTTATAGAAGCAGAAGAAATTTGTATTAATTTATGATTATACTTTTCTTCTTAGGCTCTTGACTGCCAGTAGTGGTGTCTTGGACTGCACAAAACAGCTCCCAATTCATGGAATTTTAGAATAACACACACAAGAAGCTATGTTCTCTGACTATAAAAATATTTTTCAGCCTTTCAAATATTGCGATTGTCCTTTCTATAGCATAGATGCAAATCAAAATTAAAACCTCAAACCCAGCTTGGACGATGCTGGTTTGCTTCCACAGGTACCATGATTTTACTAATTAAAATGGTGCATTGCTGAGAGGACAACTGGAATATAGAAAGATTTTCTTTATGGTGTAAGAGGTAGCAGAAACCCAAAATATTAAGTTATTCATATTCTGCTGGCTAAATAGCTCTGTGAGATAGGGTATCTTTGAACATTAGGAAAAAATTACAAAACAGAGATAAAACCTATGAAGTACTGAGATGCCACTGATTTATTTTAGTAGGAGGTCAGGGTATTCAGAGTTTAGGGCTAGATTCACTAGGGGATTTAGGAGTCTAAATACCACATTAGAAGCTAATTACAGTCACAAAATGCCCTCTTAATCATGTAGGTTCCTAAGTTTCTGTGAGTAAAATCCTCTATCCACCTAAATTACTGTTGGCGAGCTTGATTTTCTCTTATTTGTGTTGCATTTTGGCAGTACAACTTTCAAAGAGACAAATTCATCTTTCTGATTGAACTGTGTTCACTTCAAGACAGAAAAGTGCTTAAAATGCTGACTTCTAAGTCTTCCTCTTTTCTGTTACTATTGGAGGTGGTTCTGCCCCCCCCAAGGGGGACAGCAGTTAGCTACCGTCAACCATCAGAATTCCCCATGGATCACCATGCACCCTTATTCTAAACCTCCCCACCTCCCGAGAACACTAGAAAGGTGTGTGGGGCCTGGTGCTCCAGCTGTGGACCACTTATCATGGTCATATCGTAGATGACAGCATTTGTGGATAGGATCCTCAAGGAGCTAGATCTGCTGGCCCAAAGTAACGAGTGGGACTCAGTGTTTTGTTAACTAATCAAATCATCAGTCCCACTAAGGTTAAGGTCAGGAATACAAATAACAATTCTATGAAGTCTGTATTGTTTCTACTTGCCCTGGGGCAGGATTCTAAACTTTTTATCATTTTTAAATGTCTTGCTTTATATGTCCTGGCTATGTGGTAGTGTCTGTGCCTCTGGAAGAAATCAAGTCATACATAATGCATTGCTCAGTGTTTCTAAAATCAAATTTAAAACAGTCATGATTTGGAGTTTAAGGCATGTTTGTTTGTTTATTTATATAGTCCATGCCTTGGAATATTGTTTTTATTTGGAATGGCTTACATCCCTTGGCTGAAAAAGATTATTGAAGGCATATTTATTTGGAAGGCCTCTGCACCTTCTTGTCAGCCTCCTAACTCAGTCTCTTTACATTTTTAAAGAATGTGAATCTACATAACAGACCTTAGTTGTTTCTTTAAGTCTCCATTATTTGTATCACTTTACAATCTTGAGAGAGTCTTTCCCTGCTGCTATGACAATATTTGATTAGAGTTTTATTTGGCTCCAAATTTTAATGTCAACAGAGCTGGGCTATTTTGGACTGAGATGATAGGGAGTTCCACAGCTGAGGGGCTCTCATGGAAAACATCCTGTAAACAGCGCTCTCTCTCTCTTTTTTTAGACAGCATGGAGCACCAGCTCCGGTGTCACCACCCAGTGTGGCTAGAGCAGTAACACAAAACTAGGGAGAGGTGGATTCGCACATACATTGGTACTAGGACCCTCAGAGCTTTAAAGGTCAAAACTATCATCTTAAAATGTACTCAGAAACCAATAGATCATTATGCCATATAACATGTTCCCAACAAGTTATCTCATTTAGAAGAGCATGCAGCCACATTCTGCACCAGCATCAGAGTCCAGGCAGTTTAGATATACTTCTGTATAGAGAATATTGTACTGTCTAATCCTGAAGCAACAAAATCTGGATAACAACTGAATACTATGTCTTGGTAAGACAGTTTCCTTTGGGAATTTAAGAGTAGGGCTATAAACACTAAAAGTCTCAGTTTTACTCTCCTTAGGTAAACACAGTTAAAATAAATGCAAATTGAAAAGGATTAAATTCTTACCTGCATACTGTCTTTTTTCTCCCAGGTCAATGACGCTGTTTTCATCTCCCCGATCACTGTATTGAATCTCCCTCTCCTGTAAGAGCTGCACAATTTTTACCTGCTGCTGCTTTACACGATGTTCCAGAAGTCTCACCTGAGCCTGGAGCCTCAGCTGCTCTTGCAAACAACTCTGTAGAGTCTAGAGGGGAAAATGCATCTGCTAGTAATGTCAACAATGTTTATCAGAGCACTTTGTTTTGCATTAATAAACTACTGTTCTCTAAAATACAGCTGTGTCACTAATTGCTGTAAAAATAGAATATGACGATTACTTTCCCCTCCATCACTGTTACCTAGTACTCTATGTTAGGGTGACAATATTTGGATCTTGGGGAGCACTGGATTTGCAGCTGAATAAAGGCTTTAGCCTGTGGCCAGCAAAGCTGCTAACCATAAGGCAAAATGATATATTAAAAGTAACATTGCAAAACACTTAGGCAAGCAGTTTCCTAACAATGTGGTAGTTTGTAGGATATATGGTTCACTGTGCAAGGAGAACAGGATGCAGCCCACCAGCTAGGAGGATATAAAGCAGAAGTAAGACCTTGGAGATGAAAGAGTCAACAAGAAACGGCAAATGACCAGGAGAAGCTGGGTTGAGAGTGCGCTTATAGCAGAAAGCTGGTTTTGAAAGTGTGCTCATAGCAGAAAGACATGTAAATGAATTAAATGCATAGACAATTTCATGCTAATGAGATAAACCATAAACAGAGGAGGAGCTTGTGATAGGAGGGAATATGGGTGGAACAAAGGAGGAGCAAAAGTGGAGTAAATGTTAATGAATATGAACCAAGGTGTATAAATATGAAAAAAAACTAATGTTCACTGCTGTTCCCTTGTTTGTTGGTTTTTTGGGAGCCACCCGAAGCTGTCTCCATTCACAATAAAGCTGTTGTCAAGCAATGTGTGCTGCTGTTTGCTCCCCGAGCAACTGGATCCCAAGCAATTGGATCATCATCTTCCTAGTCGTTGGGTGCCGCATGGAGTTGGGGTCTAACATGCTACAAAAAGATGAAATAGCTGCCTTTCTTTTTCTGTTGTTATAACACACTTCTCTCAGAGCCTTGAAATGTTAATCCAATACTATATTTAAATTAAGGAATGCCCACAACTTTGAGAACAAATACCATTGCATGGAGTTGAGATCATCACATCTCAAGGTTAAAATTGAAAGGCAAAAACCATGGCAAAAATAAAACAGAGCAGAAATGGTGCCACTTGCAGTGGGATGCCACCGCACTTTCAGTAGCTTGTAGAAAAATGTGGATTCTGCAGTTTTTCATGGTTTTCCATGGTGAATGGAAAACTAGGATCCCTGTTAATGAGTAAAGATATTCACATACATAACCTTTCCTAGGACTGAGCTTACATAATACATAACCTGTCTGCTAATAGTAACTAGCTTGTATATCTTAGTTACTAAAAAACACTTGGACTGTTCATGTTCAGAGGTTTCCTACTACTTTTAGGCCAAATTGTCAACCTGGCCTCTAACTTTCTACTCAGAGTATTGTTTTTGCACTTTTTGCTGTTTTGGCAAGTGGTTGATAGTGACAGAATTTGCTCATGATGTGATGATATAACCAGAACTGCACCTGGAAAATTTTAGAAAGTCAAGGAAATTTGACATGTAGAGCCATATCTTCACAACTCCATGGACAGACCTACGTTTATTTACACCAGCTGAGGATTTGGTCCTTGACATTTAAATAAGACAAAGGTTTAACTGCAAGACAAAGATTTTTTGCAGCCCGCTCACAGCATGGAATGCTGATTTCATGGGCATTTCGCAGAGGCCCTGCCCCTCAGTGCTAATTGGAAGAGTGGCCTATAGAGGAAGAGGGATGCAGGGGTGGCCACAATCTTGATGGCTGGCTGCCCTTCATGTCACCCTGCCCCTCAGTGCTAAGAGGCTCCAGCAGGGGAGGGGGGATGAGGAGGCAACTGCTATCTTGTTTGCTGCCATTCATGCTGCCCCACCAGCCCTGTCACCTTCCCCTCCCGGCAGTCATAGGGTGGCCATCATAGAAGACATTTCAGTTTTCTGCTACTCTGTCCTCTGTCCTTTACTGATATGAAACCTGACACCTTTAAAGCCATCCAGTTTCATATTGATAGAGGACAGAGGACAATCGGACTGTCCTCTATGATGGCCACCCTAGGCAGCAAGGACAGCTTATTTTTATGGTGACAGACTTACCTGATCGAGCTGTGTGTCCAGGGGCTTGAGAACCCTCAATTCTGATTGGTGGAGTCAATCCACCAATCAGAAACAAGCAGGGGGAAAGTGGGTACCACGCCTTTCCCAAACGGAGGGAGAGAGGAGCTCCCTGACTGGACTGTGGACTGCAGCACGGCAGGTCTGCCAGACTTTAGGGGTGGAACCCTCGAAGTGTATAAAAGGAGAGCATGCTCGGCATGCTAGGGGAGAGATGTGGCAAGGGACAGTGAGGAGAGAGGAGCTCTGGAGACAACCGTCCATGGGACCCCACCTGAGCCTCAATGGTGCACGGATCGGTGCACGGTGCTCAGGCTCTAGGAGTTGCTCGAGGTGGCTTGAGCCTGCAAACCTGGCAAGCACTTGGGTAAGCAGTGCGTGGATCAGCGCACAGAGAGCCAGCCCTAGGAGCAGCTTGAGGCTGCTTGGGCCCCACCTAGTGCACAGGTTGGCATACAGAGAGCTGGCCCTGGGAGCAGTTCAAGGCTGCCTGGGCCCCAAACAGCACACAGGTCGGCACATGGAGAGCTGCCTCTGGGAGCAGCCCAAGGCTGTTCAAGTTAGCCCCAACTCTAGGCTGAGTAGCCAGAGCCCCGCAGTGTGGTTCTGCATTAAATTAAAAGAGCCCCTGCGGCCAGAGCAGGGCCCAGGAAAGGGAAGGCCCCTGGTGTGAGGCCGGGGAACCAGAGCCAGTAAAGGCTCAGTTCCCATGGGAGCACCCGGGGTGCTCAGTGCAGGGTACCAGGCCATCAAGAGGAGCCGGAGGCGCTGCTGGAGAGAGGCCCTTGCGGGACTGGTCAGCAGGGGATGAGCCTTGGCTGCTTCAGAGCGGGAGTGGGGGTTGCTGGAGAAGCGGGTCCCACAGGGGTGGTGGGCTTGGGAGAGGAGGGTCTGCAGCCTCCACCCTTCTCCATTGTGGGAGGGGGCATGTCCACATCCAAGGGCCCTAAATGGGAGGGGCTCCAGGGAACACCCCGTGGGGTGCTGAGTGCACCCCATATTCTGTGATTGATACAGTTTCATATTGTAGCGGTTAATATAGTTATGGGTACTCCTTAAGGGGGTTTATATGGGTTTACCTGTCTTCATTACCTATATATGTTTACTGCCTATTGTCGGAATATTGCATTGCTACCTCAACTTATCTGGGTTTATCTAAGTTGATGCTTATAGGTGTTTATTGTGTTGATGCCTTGACTTACCTATTCCAGAGTGTTCATGTTCATTTTGTGCAGGGGAGTTAATTATTGCCTATGCTGTGAAACACCTGGCTTATGTTTTGTAGTCCCGCGAAGTGGTGCAATGTGTTGATTGCAAGTTATTGTATATGGTATTCCATACTAATTCTACTGTAAATATTTAATGTATTTTATGCATATTTATTTCGTGTAGGAATAAATTTGTATCTAGTTAAGCACTTTGTCTTAGCCTGGCTCTATAGAGAGGAAAGGAAACTGCTCCCAGGCGGCAGGTCCCTCTCATAGCACTCTTGCCTGACCACCCCATCCCTTCCACTTGCAGACAGGGCACACCCCTGGGTGTACTCGGGCTACATTATTAAGGGTTTTTTTAGTTGATTTTGCAGATTTTGTGGACAATCCCAAATTTTGTGGTTTCTGCAAAATCCACAAAACTGTGAATTAGGCAGTCCCTAACTATACTGCATCTATATTACATTTCTATAACTTTAAAAAAGTTAATAGATAATGAACTTTGTAATATTGTAATTAATGCATGTCATCTTAGGAACTCTAGTGATTTTACTTACTATTATATTACAACACTATTTACTACCATTGATTTAAATGCACCTTCTCTATGTCAGTAAGAAGAGAGTAAGACTCATACTTAATTTTATTTCAGCATGACACTGTTTGTAATATTCTCCTCTGCAAAAATCTTGAAAATGTCTTTCCATAATGGTATTGTACTTTTCTATTCAATGAATATAGAGGTCCTCCAGTACATCTCTGTGTGACACAGACTAACATGGTTCTGTTTGGTTGTACTTGTTGATGAATCAGTCATCAGTGATATCAGCACAGCTCTGAAAACAGACTAGGTTAATTGAAATACACAGTACAAATAAAAAGCTACAAATCAGGATACTAACACATGATTTTCCCGATCTCCCAGTAATATTGTGGATCTAGTTAAAAAACAGAGGAATGTCTAATACAAAAAACATGTGTATAAACTGGGTCATGGTTATGTCCTATTATTTACGGTAAAACTCAAGGCTACCGAAGGATGTCAGGCTTTGCTTTTTCACTCCAGAGAATGCAGTTTTCTTTGTTGACCAACTTACAATAGGAGATGGACTACAGATAAAAATAAATATTAGGTATTTGTAAGTGAGAGGTAAAGAATGATTTAAAATAAGTTTTTAGCATGGTATTTTTAAAGAACATTGTAATTTGCTCTTAATGTACTAGGTTTCCTTAGGTAAGTATGTATTGTTTCTGATCTGTTGACTCTGCAGACCAATCCTGATCATGTGTCTTCGTTCTGAATATTTGTGTTGTATCTCTGATTTTTTTTCTAATTTAATTCATACTCATTTGTACACTGATGGATGACATCCTGGGACATGTAGCAGGATCAGCTAGTTTGCTAGTAGCCTATTCCAGAGGGGAGGGTTCGTTACTTCTGCTGTGCTTGCCACTGAGAGGCAGCTTTGAAAATTCCAAATAGGACTTTGGGCCAGATTCAGATATGGTAATAGCTCCATACAATCTGGCCGTTCGAGAGAGATGGGCAAAAGGGCCAAATTCTAAAACTCAGTAAAAGATGCACAAAATCCCTGCTGTGGCCTGGCAACACCCAGAAATGCATTTTACTTCAACAATACTTCACTGCAAATCTTTTCCAGATGTGACCAACAGCACAAGATGGTCAGCATAAGCAGTTGGGCTGCACAT